GGCTGGCTTCAAACCGTGATCCTCATCTCTCAGTATTCTGAGTAACTAGATTACAGGCATGAGCCACCTGTGCTCAGCTCAGTCTTTTTATATAATAAAAATCTGTATGGATGCATCAGAATATAATTACCTGTGTACTACTGAAAGACATGTAGCTTTCCTATGCTCAGCTCAGTCTTTTTATATAATAAAAATCTGTATGGATGCATCAGAATATAATTACCTGTGTACTACTGAAAGACATGTAGCTTTCCTATCTATTGCTTTTACAAAAAATATTTCTACATAAGATTTTGAACACATTTATTTAACAGGGACATTACTCAGTTATCACTGAATATTGCTGCCTAACACACAAGCTTAAAACAAGCAGCACTCATTCCTTGTTCATAGGTTTGAGGATAGGCTGGTGTGTGCTGGCTATATGCTTAGCTAAATGACTCTATAGTTAGGCTGCAGGAGGCAGTTTACTAACAGTACAAAAACATACTTTTGCTATTCTTGTTAGGAAATCTAGAAATTTCTTCAGAGAAGAAGCCTGATGTTGAATTTTTTTTAATCTAATCATGTTTTTCCATCTTTTTCTTTTTTCTTATAAACATAAATGTATGCTTTAAAATTTTTTTAGCAAGTATTCACTTTAGTATATCAGGATTAAAGTAGGGAGAAGTGAGGAAAAAAAAGAAACATTCCTGCTTCCACATATTTTTCCATCTTTTTCAAGTACAATTTATATTGAAATCTTGGATTTAGTGTTTTAAGTGAATTTTGTCCAATGCTGAGTTTAACTTCTTCCTAGATATCATGTCTCTGAAGTTATTATAAATGGAGTCTTTCTATTTGAACTTATTTTTTGTTGTTGTTTACAACTTACTAGAGAAGTGGATATATTAAATGACCACTTTTTTTTTTGTCAGCCGTGGGGCTTGAACTCTGGGCTTGGGCATTGTCCCTGAGCTCTTCAGCTCAAGGAGAGCGCTCTACCGCTTGAGCCACAGAGCCACTTCCAGTTTTTGAGTGGTTTTATTAGAGATAAGAATCTCATGGACTTTCCTGCCTGGGCTGGCTTTGAACCTCTATCCTCAGATCTCAGCCTCCTGAGTAGCTAGGATTACAGGCATGAGCCACCGGTGCCAGCTAAATGGCCACTTTTATAATGAAAAATGTTGTTACGCTGGGACCAATGTTGAGGTTTTTCTCTGTATGAATATATTTGGATGATATATGATATTATTTCTCAAATACTAGGAAAAGATTCAGAGTTTTCTTCTTATTGCTAACCATGGTCTCTAATTGATGTTATTCTACATAAAGTTTGAAGGACAAAGGTGCTAAAAAGAAAAATTTGTACATGTGTAAATATCTGAGAATCTTAAAATCAGAAAGTTAGCACTGAAAAGATGCCTTCCGCTACCTTTCCCAATTCCTTAACTAAGTAAGAAATTTTAGATAGTTTTCATGGTACTCTCCATGGCTTTCCAGTTATATGACCCCATCAATTGCATATTTTAGTATTTTAATGGGTGTTATAGTAACTCAAAGTAACTATCTAACCAGATACTATTGTTTATTTTTGTTATACCCTTTTATCAGAATTTTTAAATGATTACTTCACTTATTTATTTATTTAGTGCTGGTCCTGGGGTTTGAACACAGGAATTGGGCACTGTCTTTGAGGTTTTTTGTTCAAAGCTAGAGCTTTAGCACTTGAGCCACACCTGCACTTCCACCTTTTTGGTAGTTAATTAGAGGTAAGGGTCTCATGAACTTTCCTGCTTGGGTTGGCTTTGAACCACAATCCTCAGATCTCAGATCTGAGCAGACTCCTGAGTAGCTAGGATTACAGGTGTGAGCCAGCAGCACCCAGCTATTTCTAAAAATATCTCGTAACACTTTTCATCTTATTGAAGAATAGGAAGACATTAAGTCTTGGTATTTCACAAATTCTTATTACCTTCAGCTCCCGTTTGAGCAGCTCTCTCACTGCCTGCCAGATCCACCAAATTCTGTAGGATGGGGTGGAAAAAAAATGCCCTTAGAAACAGCAATTTGAAAAAGATCAAAAGAAATTTTTAGAAGTAGAATTTGAAATACAGTCGAAACCACTGAGAGGACATCTTAAAATCATGGCATCTCTAAAAATCCCATCTGGATCCTTGTCTCCCTTCAATGTTCAAGATTTCCCCTTTCTCTCTAGTCACACTGGTCTCTCTATCTTTTCTTTCTTACAACACATACTCCATAACACTGCCAGCACCATATCTTCATGGAATGGTAAAGAACCCATCACTTACGGAATAGGGGAAGAAGGATAAAGGTGGCAAAGCTACACTAAGAAGGCAATGTTTGCCCTGACAGAATAGAACATTAGAAATAACCATACAAAGAGAGCAGAAGTAAAGCCATTGCTCATTTTCCTCTTAGTAAAGTTGGGAATATCAAGAAGTCTTTCCTTCCACCTCATGGGGTGGAAGGAAGTCACACAGGTTACGAGGTGTGAGATTCTGTCCAAGTAGTAAGATAGCAAAAGTAATGCTTTATGATCTTAGAAGTCTATATGATGGACCAGAGAAAGGAAGCTCATAGTGGCGAGGTTCCAGAAGACCAAATAGTAATGAAGAAGACATGTATCAAGATGGACTCAATAAATAATGGGATAACTGGACAAAGGGAAATAAAGATAAAGATGCATTAAAAATGACTACCAATATGTACAGAGAAGTCCTGACTCCATTGCTGGTTAGGAAAAGCCCCAACTCCTAAAGCTTTTCACCTAAATTTTAGAAGAGATGGTGGCCATGATGTACTAGAATAAAATGTCTTTAAATTATCCTTATACCATTTCAGCTAGCAATCTGGTACATTGAGAAGGTCAGGCTAACTGCCAACCTATACTCCCCCTGCATAGAGTATAGTTATCAGTTGTTACTAAGCTGAGTTCATTCTTATTTGGGACCATATGGTACATTCTTTTTTTTTAAATATTTTTTTATTTTTTATTGTAAAGATACTATACAGAGGGTTACAGTTACATGAGTGAGGTAATGAGTACACTTCCTCTTGAGCATTGTTCCCCCTCCATTGTTTCCCCCTACAATGGTACATTATTATGATTAACACTCACCAAGTGAGAAACTTTGATGGATCCATCACAGTTAGAAGGCTCACCTTTCTCTCTACTTTCTAAAATCTGTCAAGGAAAAGCAACTTGTAGGAGATGAATGCAATCTTTTTAAAAATATATTTTTGTTGTAAAGATCCTGTACAGAGGGGTTATAGTTATATGAGTAAGGCAATAAGTACATTGCTTATTGATCATTGTTACCCCCTCCTTTGTTTTTCCACTACCATCCCTTCCCTCCCCACTGCCCCAACAATGAGTGCAATTTATTTGGGAAGACTGACCCCAGGTAGGGAGACTACTTACCATCCTAAAGATGGTGTGCGATCGGCTGCTTCTTTGGTTCATTTTTGTTGTTCCATAGTGTCTGTTTTCTGTAAATATGAGTCACATTTCAGTGACATATATGTTACAGTCCAAGAAAAACATTGATTTTCATTTTAGGCTATTAAGAACAAGTATGAGTCAAAGCATGTTTAGCAAAACAATAAAAAATGTGATTCAATTTTAAACTCCTTTTTATAAGTGTTTGACACACAACAATACTAGGTGCTAGTGGCTCATACTTTTAAACCTAGCTACTCCGGAGGCTGAGATAGGAAAGTCTTGGTTTGAAGCCAGCCCTGGCAGAAAAAGCTGAGACTCTTATCCCCAATTAACCAGCAAAGCTGGAAGTAGAGTTGTGGTTCAAGTGGTAGAGCAATAGTCTTGAGCAAAATAGCTAAGGAAATATGCAAAGCTCTAGGTTCCTGCCCCACTACTAGCACAAAAACAAAAACAGCACAGTCTTACTTTCTCCCTTTGTGATCCATTTCAAAGCCATTTCTGATGTGTAAACCACTTCTTCTGTGAGATCAGCAACATATACATTCCTCTGAAATCATTTTAATTAGGGAAAGATTAGAGAAACAGTTAGTTTGCTTTTTCAAAAAAACCCATGACAACGGTAAAATCAATTGCTGAATTCATCTGAAGAAGTTAGAAAAACAGACCTATTATTTGGAAGAGAAACAGCAAACAAATCTATGAGTATTAAGCTTATTGCATACATCAAGAATACCAAATTCTACCTTGACGTTTCTATTTTGCAACTTTTGGGAACTTATACCGAAATATTATGGCTGCCAGTATTTTAAAACTATATTTACTGCTTAAAAAAAAAAGATCGCTAAACACTTTAACAAAATCCAAAACAGAAAGAAGACAAACACAGAAACAGAACACACTTTAAAATATTTAGAATAATCCAGTGAGTGTTTTAAAGTCATCTTAATTATTACTCACATTAATGTCTTCCCGAATTATCAAAGGTTTCACTTTTTCAGTGTTGCAGAGTAAGTCTGTAATGGTTTCATTGTATATTTCCATGTAAGATACTCGTAGGAGAAATTCTCTCTCAGGAAACTAAAAGAAGTATAAAATATCAGAAGCACTCAGGTATAAAAATTAATGTTTGAATGTTTATCTGTTCATATTAGAATGAAAGACAACTATTGATTGGTTAATTGACTAGTCAGTACTGAGGCTTGAATTAAGGGGACTTAAACTCTAAGGGAAAAAAACTCAGCTTTTTTTCCCCTCAAGTCTAGCACTCTTCTACTTGAGCCATGCCTTTAGTCTGGCTTTTTGCTAACTGGAGCTAAGAGTTTTGTGGACTTTTCTGCTTGGACTGGTTTTGAATCTTGCTAGTATAAATCTCAATTTCCCAAGTAGCTAGGGTTATAGACATGACCAACTGATACCTGGCTAATAAAGTTATTTATTAAACAGAACAAATCCTATGGATCTATGTTGACAACAAGAAACATAAAAATACAAAAACATTGGTTCAGATATAATAAAAAGTGAACACCCTACTTATGTAGGGTCTTTTGAGACTACTTATGTAGTCTCAACATAAAACTAAAAATAGATGCCTTTACTTCAATGAAAAAGCATAGTTTGGGCTTCTGCTTCCCTTCTTTTATTTCTACCTAAAACTAAGATGATGTGGAGCTAAGTATTCAAATAATTTTTTCCTAATACTTAATTTAGCTTACTATCTGTTAGAAGTATTACTGTGTTGTAGGACTTGGGAAAGACTTAAAGAATGTTAAATTCTATAAAGTCTGTGGTGGGAAAGTATAGATACATTTTGTTTCATCTGTTTTTGAACTCAGGGCCTTGTTGCTTGCTAGGCAGGTGCTCTACTACTTGAGTCACATCTCCAGCCCACTTCTTTTCATTTTCACAAGAAAGAGACACCAATACTTCTCATTATTATGACTTTTACACATGTATACTTGTGAACCACATTATTACCTTTTTTATTTTCTGGAAAATGTCATGGACTGCCCTGGGTATAACTCCTAAACAATCTTCTGAACCCATCATAGTGTGTGTTTTCCCTGAAGCAGTCTGCCCATAGGCAAAAATAGTACCTGCAAAAACAAACACATGCAAAGATGAAAAATGAATCTACAGTGAATAAAGCTATTATTACTTGTCAGAAAGACACTTAAGACTAAAATGCTTCTTCAGCAGGGAGGGCAATACAAACCATTGTAGCCCTGGATAGCAGAATCAATGATTGGTACTGCTATTTCTTCATAAACATTTTTAGTGGTTTCCTTACTGTGAAAGACACGATCTAAAAAGACAAGAACACAGAAGCTCAATCAAACAAATCAACTGTGTTTTTACTCAGTTGAGTAGTTACCCAAAGAAGTAAAAATGTCAGGATCTTGAGTGAGAAGATAGTTAAAGCGGTATTTTCTTCAACTTTTTATCTCCTGAAAATATCCTTCCCAAAGGTAAAATGTGTTGTTCTTCACAAATAAAAACCACAAGTCAGGCTGGGATGTAGCTCAGTTGCAAAGTGCTTGCCTAGCAGATGCAATGCTCTGGGTTTGATCCCCAACACCACAACAAATAAATAAACCATCAAACAACAACAACAAAAACCCACAAGGCTGGGCTGGGAAGGTGGCTCAGTAGTAGAGCGCTTGCCTTGCATGCATGAGGCCCTGGGTTCGATTCCTCAGCACCACATAAGCAAAAAGAAAAAAGCCGGAAGTGATGTTGTGGCTCAAGTGGTAGAGCGCTAGCCTTGAGCTGAAGAGCTGAGGGGCAGCGCCCAGACCCAGAGTTCAGGCCCCACGACGGGACCCCAAAAAAACAAAAAACAAAAAAAAAACCCACAAGGTAACCAATCCTATACGTCTTCCAAAGGCAGGTGGACACAATGGTTGCCTATAGAACTCTAGAATCTGTCTGGATGTTAACCCTTCATAAACTGTGTTTCTTCTGATCTGTAAAACTGGTATCTGTTATCATCCTGACAGAATTATTGCAAATACATAATTAATACAAAGGAACTGTGAACTATTACTATTCCTTGAGAAACTTTTATGTTTTCTAATGTAGTCAGCCAGAGGGCCTAGCTCCAAGTTCAGCCAAGAAATGCAGAGATCTGGAAGAAAAGCCCTGAACAAAATTCAAATGTTATAAAAGATGTCTGGCAGCTGATGGCTGTATTTAGTGGAGCATTGACTGACTGTGCTGATCAATCTGTCATTCTATGATCTAACTGCATTAAAACCAGGCAGTTCTTGCAGTAGTGGCCTCGTGAAAATGCTCATAGGAAACAGGTTTGTAAATGAGGAAGGAAATGCACTGATCCACAAGGAGAAATGCAGTGATCATACTGCTGGCATGTAACCATGCATCTTCCTTGTAGGCTGAAGTCCATAAGAAACCCAAGCACCAGTGGAAGGCTATTCAGGGGTCATGATTTCAGAGTGAAGAGCTAGTATGTAAATCAAATTCAGACTAATGTCATTTATCTGAGGCAGGTGAATGAATCCAAATCTTCTCATGCCTATATAGCTAAAGAACTGTGGCACCAGTCTGAATGCTTGCTTATCTCTTACAATTGGGTTTATAATCTCTAACACATAGTTATACCGTTAAAAAAAAAAATGAGGTCCATATTAGCAAATAGTCCTTTCAAGAAAATAACTGTAACTCCAACTTCTTGGCACTCAAATGTTATTTATTGATTTTCCAGTTTAACAATAAGGTGACTACCTAATCACTCATTCTTAAGGTTGTTGAGTGGATAAGTTATTCTGTGCTGTCTTGACAGCAAATTAGATGGTGGCTATAACTTGGATTAAAGTCAGATTCTTCTACATGACAGTGTGACCCCAGTCTCTGGTTTTGATTCCTCATTAACATGAAGAATGCAATCATACCTACTGCATAGCCTTGTTAGAGAGTTTAAAAATATGGGAAACGCTTAGAACAGTGTCTGGCACATGTTAAATCAATAAAGAAATCAATCTTGTTACCCCTCAGGACATCAAAATCCTTTAGGATAGTCTTCAATCTCAGGGCCAATGGCTTTGAGGACACTGGGACTAAGTTGGATCTCTCAGTACCAAGCCCACAAAGTGTATTTCACCATAAGTTTAATGTTATCATATGATGATAAGCTCAAAAAAGGCAAAGGATGAGAACTAATCTCTTCATTTATTCTTTAAAGAGTTTGGATGAAAAATAACAAACAACTGAAGTACATTGTATGCAAGTAAAACTCTTCTGCACAACATATGGTAATAAGTAAAAAAAATGAAAAATGAATTTAATATAGTAAATTGAATGATTTTAAATGATTTGATATTATACAACATATTTGGGTTCATGGAGCTTTAGATTACAATTAAACCAATAAAAAGTTAAATATTTGTTTTAGTAACGAGGTATTATGGCTATAATTGTGTTCTAAACATCAATTATTATCTCACCATCCATACTTATAAACAATTTCTATTTCTATTTACAGAATGTTAAGACACATTTGATACAATTTATTTGCCTTCTGTTCTCTTGACTAGTTAAAGGATGCAAGCTAACTCTTGGTTGCCTGCCTCAGCCTCCCAAATACTGGGGTTACAGGTCACAACAAAGCGCATAAGCTAACTTTGGTGCTATGACAGGCTTACCAAAATTGAAGGATTTACTCCCATCAACCTGATAGATGACATTATTGCCAGTTTTCCAGTAAACTTGAGTAGCTTCTCCAAGTTCTTCTTCCCTAGAAGAATTAAAAACATTGCATTTTAGTATGGTACAAGTGACCACCAAAATCATGCCATAGGAAGAAAATATGGTGATAACACGTAAGAGAATGTAACAGAAGGCTCAGAGTTCCATTCTCCTAAAGGGGGTTCTGTGACCTCTTGTCTTCTCATGGGTTTCCTTGTGAAGCCCTATGTCCCCTTACTCTCCCCCAGTACCCACAACTGAAGGAAGAGATTCAAAACACCATTTCTGATTATGCCCTTCTGTAATAACCAGTGCCCTGTGCCCCATTGGGAGTGTCTGGGCAGTGGGCAGCTTGGAGTGGGGCCAATGGGTGGTTAGCCATTGGAGTGTGGGCAGGGGCACAGCCTATGTATAGGCTGTGTTGCTCCCTGTGGTGGTGAAGACCGAAGACAGGGACACAGGGCGGAAGAGAGAAGCAAGAGAAGTAGCAAGAGGCTTGCGGGAAGACAAGAGGCCTGAGGCCTGCACAGGAGGAGGAAGGGAGGAATAAAGATCAAGGTTGCCCCTTTGGTAGCTAGCCAAAGTAGTTAGTTGCAAGCCCCTTTCTTTTTTTGGTCTGGTCATGGGGCCTGAACTCTGGGCCTGGGCGCTGTCCCTCAGCTCTTCAGCTCAAGACTAGCGCTCTACCACTTGAGCCACACTGCCACTTTTGGCTTTTTCTGCTTATGTGATGCTGAGAAATTGAACCCAGGGCCTCATGCATGCAAGGCAAGCGCTCTACCACTGAGCCACCTTCCCAGCCCCTGCAAGCCCCTTTCTAGTGTAATGATAAAACCAAGCATGACACAACACGACTGATAAGTCACCTCCCTTTTCAACCTTACCTGCTCCTAAACTCCTACATGCACCCTAACAACGACAGCCATCAACCATCTTAAAAGGTCTTCTGATAAAAGGGCAGACCGATTCTTTCATTCATGGAAAGGGTCAGAACCTTCCAGACTCCGGCCTACGCCACCCCAAACGGTCACCTCTCTGACACCAGCCTTCAGCTCCTGGTCACCCTTCCCAGGATAGATGGCAAGGGTCAAGGACAACGCAGCTGTAGCTCTCTTTTCACAAACGAGAGAAAGGTGCTTCTTTGTTGAGTCGGTAGGCAATTTCCAAACGTGGACAACCCCAGGTCCGAAACGCCAAGTCCGCGTTCAATGGCCGTCCCTCACGCACGCCACCCGAAAGCCAGCGCCGTCCGCTGCCCGCCTCTCTACCCGGGAAGAGGCCGGCCGGGTGCGGTGAGACACAGGAGGCCATCCGGACGGAGGTCCGCTGCGGGAGCGGCCAGGCCTCCCGCACACCCGGCCCGCTCTCCCCCGATGGGGAGCCGGGATTCGAACCCACAGCCAGCCGGCGGGGAGGCCGCCGCGGTCCCGGGCTGAGCCGCGGGCTTCCCCCAGCCCCGCAGGCCGCGCGCGGTCCGTCCACCCACCTGCTGCTCAGCGGCCGCACTCGCACGCACACCGCCACCGCCGTCTCCTCAGCCATGGCGCCCGCGCGGCGGTGAAGCCCGGCGGCCCCCCCGGCAGCACCCCGGGTGAAGGGTGAAGGCCCGGGGACCGGGGAGGGGCAAGGCCGGGCGTCCTCCGACAGCGACCCGGGAAAAGGGTGAAGGCCGGGCGTCCCCCGACAGCGACCCGGGAAAAGGGTGAAGAAGGCCCGGAGTTGAAGGCCCGGCGTCCCGCAGCGACTCCAACCCCCGCCTCTAGATTTAAAATTTCCCCTGCGCCGCTTTTGATTGGACCGTGGGCTCGTGACGTCACGGGGCAGTTCACTTACGGCACCTGGAGGGGAGGAGGGAGACCAGAGACGAGACCACTGCACCCGAGCGGGGGTGGGGTGGAGGTGGAAGAGGGCGGGGAGGGGCGGGGAGGGATTTAAAAGGTCTGAGTTCCGGAGTGCAGGGACAGAGCTCAGAGGAGATCTCAGGAGTTGGTTCCCAGATGTGGTCCTGCAAAGCGGGAAGCCATTCCCAAACACCAACTTTCCCGCCAGCTTATCCTTGAAGAACTGGCATTCTGTAGCAGGAACTTAGGTAGACAGAGGTTTGCTTTTCACGTACAAAGGAGAATATACAAATATGTGTGTGGGTGTGTCTGTGAAGTGTGTCTAGTTTTTTTAAGTAGTTGTACAAAGAGGTTTCAATTCTTCAGGTCAGATTATGAATGCAATGTGTCATATCAATGGAGAATTAACCTCAAGAACAAAACAAGACACACTAGCAGAAAAAAAAAATCCACAAAAGAAAGTCCTACCAATGTTCTCCCAAGCAAACAAACAAGCAAACAAAAACCTCAGAGGATTTAGAAATTCACTGCCAAGTCCAGAAACCTAAAAAACCCTGTTGCATCCCTTCGAAATTCTGGCCTTAGTGTCGTCCTCCTCCCCCCAACCCCTTCCACTTCTTGACCTTTTGATTTGTTTCTATTGCCTGAGTTCCTTACAGGCTGACATGGGGGAAAGAATCACTGAAGACTGGAAACACTTGTTTAATCATATGCTAGAATTTCGTTAGCAGAAGAAGGAAAGTGATTCTAATATTTCAACAAAATAGTACTTAGCTTTTTCTTTGCCCTAACTATGTGTGGTAGAAAGTACTCATGTCCTTTTAAAGACTGCTTTTACCCTGTTTGTTGATTGATTTCTAAGGAAGCAGCAAGAATTTTCCTAATTTTGAAAGAAGCAGCAAGAAATGTCCACACTCCCTAACTGAAATATGACTGCAATTACTCACTTTTTTTTAGTAACTATAATTATTTTGTAGTGGCATTAGGACTTGAACTCAGGACCTCAAACTATCATTTGGCTTTTCCATTTAAGGTTAACACTCTACCACCTGAGCCACACCTTCAGTTCCTGCTCTGCTGGTTAATTGGAGATAAGAGACTCATGAAATTTTCAGTCTGACCTGGCTTCAAACCCCATGATGTTCTGATCTCAGCCTTCTGAGTAGCTAGGATTATGAGTGTGAGCCTATAAAGTGACTTACTCCTGTAGGTATTTAATTCCATTCAAGAAGGGAAAGTGAATTTCTGAGGCATGCTAATTGATGTTTTGTTTCCCCACCCCCTCCAACCTTTAAACTGTATTATTATATTTAAACTGCAGAGGGTGCTGTAATTCTTCCAAAAAGCTTAGCCTATCTGGATATTATTTGAAGTACAAATTTTGAAGCAGTAACTGGATAGTGTTTGAATGTAGTGCAAATGTCAGGATTTGTAGAAACTTCTTGTATTAAAAGCATTCACCAATTCAAATTACTTAACTGTGGTCACTGTATGTATTGTACATAAAATTAACTATGGTATGTATTTATATCATGCCATCCCCTTCAATAGGAATTGCTTTTTTTTCTAATAGGTATAATGCTTAATTTCTTTTGTTTTTTTTTTTTTTTTGGTCGGTCATGGGGCTTGAACTCAGGGACTGGGCATTATTCTTGAGCTCTTTTGCTCAAGGCTAGTATTCTACCACTTTGAGCCACAGCTCTACTTCTAGTTTTTTGGTGGTTAATTGGACATAAGAGTCTAATGGACTCTCTTGCCCAAGGGTTGGCTTTGAACCTCGATCCACAGATCTCAGTCTCCTGAATTTCTAGGATTACATGTGTGAGCCACTGTCACATGACTTAATTTCTTAAATTAATTAAATGCTTATTTTCTTTCTTTCTTTTCTTTTGGGGGGGGGTCCGGTAGTGGGGCCTGAACCCTGGGCCTGGGCACTATCCCTCAGCTCTTCAGCTCAAGGCTAGCGCTCTACCACTTGAGCCACAGCGCCACTTCCGGCTTTTCTCTTTTTGCTTATGTGGTGCTGAGGAATGGAACTCAGGGCCTCATGCATGCAAGGCAAGCGCTCTACCACTGAGCCACCTTCCCAGCCCAGCTTAGAGATGTTTATGTGTAATAATTACAGACATGATATCACTTTCCTTCCCCAGATACTCTATGTTTTAACTTAAGTAGATGTACAAAGGGGTTTCAATTGAACATGTTAACTTATGAGTACAATGCATCTTGATCAGTGTCATTCCTTTTGTCATTCTCCCCATCTCTTCCAATCCTGCCCATCCCTTCAAGTTTCCTACTTCCATTTTCTTTCCTTTTACTCATGGTTACAGAGAACTTGTGTGGCACTATGAAAATTCCAGCCTGGTCATTCCAACTCCACCATTTACAAGTAATGCCATACTTGAAAATTATTTATCTCCATGAATTATTTTTTTCCATCCACAAAATGAGGGAATTGAATGTACTTGTAAGATCCTTTCCAGCTCCCACAAGTCTATGAGTCCTCATTGGAAAACCAACAAACAAAAAAAAGAGACTTGTTTTTAACCACAAAAATGCATGTGCGCTAACAGAGTGAGACCAAAGGAGGATATTCTTAGGAGAGGATCACAAAGGCACAATGCCCATGTGCATCTGATTATATGAAATAATATATATTAAAATAAACTCCAAGAAATGGACACAAGAGGCTTTCTCTTTTCTTTTATACTGTTTTTGTTTCCTTTTCCTTTTGTCTTGCTTGTTCATTCATCTGTCTTTGGGAGGGTAAGGGGAGCAAGGAAATGGAGGGAAAAAGGGTGAACAAATATAGTAGTGGTATTGACTGGACACTATGTTGAAAATGAACTATACAACTTGTGAGTGGGGATGGGAGGGAAAAACTGGGAGAGAGAGCGAGGGAAAGGGTGATATTGTCCAAAAAGAGATGTACTCTTTACTGGATTTATGTTACTGTAACCCCTCTGTACATCACCCCTCTGTACATTAACAATTTAAAAAGTAAAAAAAAGAATTAAAATGCATATGAGATAATACATGTGTTCATTAGCTTGATTTAACAATTCCATAGTGTGTGTTTCAAACATTGTACTATATATTACAAACACATACATAGGCAGTTCAAATAATGAAACAATACCAAAAGAAACTTGCTTAAATTTAGGATGGATGAGTGTACGGGTGAGTATACAGTTCAATATTACTAGGTGAGGGAGTGAGGAGAGAGGTGTGTGTTACAGGGAAAAGCTCAAGCAGAAAGGAATCCAATGAAATCGATTCTCTTTCTAGCCAAAAAAACCCCAAATTGACACGGCCATCCTGACTCTTAGTAAAGATGTCACTTCTAGACCTAGAATACAAAAGCTTCACAGGGGCATTTTAACATTTTTATTTATTTTTTACTGTCAAGGTGATGTACAGAGGGGTTGCAGATACATGGGTAAGGTAATAAGTACATTTCTTGTCAAACTTGTTACCCCTTCCCTCATTTTTCTCCTACTTTCCCTCCCTCCCACCTCCACCCCTAAGTGTACAGATCATTTCCATTGGGTATATTGCTATTGCTTTGGTTCCCTGCTTGGCCTTTGTCTCACCATTCTGTTGTTCGCCTTCCCTTCCCTAATTGCAGTAAACGTATATACAATACCAGGGTACCAAAAGCAAATACAGTGACAACAGGGGTTCTTGTTCTTGGTGAACATCCTCTCCCTTCTTGATGGTCCATACCTTGGTCATGCCCCCTCAAGTTCAGGTCTTATATTCTCTCTTTACTGGGAAATGAAGATGGTCAGGTAAGAGGCCTAATGTCATACTTCAGTCCAGCCTCCTCAATGCCAGCCATTCTGCCTCTGCACTCACTCTTCTCTCACTGTATGCTCTTCTCCTGAGGAATGGTTGGCTACTATGGGTTGGGGGTGTGTCCTTTCATTGGTGTGAGAGGAAACCTCATGATGGTGAAAAACATCATGAAATGTTTTCTGACCGTTACCAATGGTTTTCATCATGAACCTTCCTCATGTGATGGAGAAGGTCTGTATCTTCATAGTATTTAATTAATTAGTTAATTAATTTTTGCACATTTGTCTAAAACATATGGGTGTTACTTGTAGCAGGAGATATGCAAATTAAATCTACCATGGAATAGTTCATTTGACTTTACAGGAGTTTTTTTGAAAATGTTCATAATAATTAATTGGGAAACATTACGATTACCATTTCTTATAAGCAGATTAGGATGTACTCAGATGCTTGAGAATACCCTTTACTATGACCAACCAAAGAAAACTGAATTTGGCTAGTTACTAGATGTGTGATTGTTGTTGTGTGAAAGTTAAACTTCTTTTATTGCCATATAGTAATTATACAAAGATATTTTATTGTCATATTACCATAATGCATGTAATGTACTGTGATCAGAAAACAATCAGATTTTATGTATTGCCTGGTAAAAGCACTGAGTAAACTGTAAAATGTTATTGCCAAAATATCTGCCTGAATCTGATCATGCTTCTGTTTCTAACTACTCCCTAATAGGAAATACAGAAGAAAGAACAAATATTCTAACAAATATTGCTCAACTCCAGACTGTATGGAAATATGCATAGGAATAACAATTCTGTTTCATCAATTAAAAAAAAAGAAAGCTGTGTGCTGGTGGCTCACACTTGTAATCCTAGCTACTTAGAAGGCTGAGATCTGAGG